AACAATGCCTGACATGGAAATACAGCGCTAGTCATAACTGGAGTTTCATGGTGTCGACCTGAAAACACATAATTATGTTACTATCCTTTGATATTTTCATATTTCTGTAAATTCATTATAGAATGTGAAACAAGCCAATAAAACCATGGAAGACGCATGCTAATGCAGGTCACTTCCTGGAGGATGATGTCATTAGGCAACTGCCTTGAGTTAAAGGGATATTACAAAAGAGTAGAATGGAAAGTAATATTGAAAACACAGGAAAATTCTATTTAATGAGGATCGACTGCAACAATATTCTCAAGAATACTTTAATAAAGTCCATGATAGAAGTGCACTGCACCCGGGGACATGACAAAAACTAAATAGAATTGTATTATTTGATTAAAAAATGCGAGACATTACAAATACTGTGCTTCACTGTCATTGGTTCAGTGGTCAGTTTTTAAGTAGCAACTCAAAAGGCACTCTATTCATAGTATCAACCTCACAGTCTGTACAATCAATAACCAAACATGTTTGAGAAAAAAAGCATGTAATGTATGCTGTAAATCTTGTAACTCTGTCTCTCTCTCTCTCACACACACACTTCTATCTTAAAATCTGCTAGGTTTGCAGCAGAGGTTACTACTCGTTTGTTTTTCTAATGAGCTTCAGAAGTTTTTTGTTTTTTTTTCAGAATAATTTCTCACTGCTTCAGTAGACAGAGTTTCCACTAACAGGAAGTGTCGTAAATGTGGCAACTTGATCTTAATACACAAAAATGACAAATGAGATATGAATACGTTTTTGAGTAATAATTAATGCTATATGCATATTAGCCAATATATATTCATCTGTATGTACACTGCTGTAAAATGTGTGAACAATATAAAAGTTCTGTTGTTTTCATATAAAACAAAGTCTGATCTAACAGATAAAAGCCAGTTGATATTCATGTACCGTCAAAGATTAAGGTACTCAAGACGCAAAAACATGGTTAACCAACCATGACTGCGTGGCCAGAGCAAACATAACATACACAAATATATTTTACATGAATATTTTATAACACAAAACACTGCCAGTATGAAAGACAAATTAAAACATCTGAGCAAAAGTGTTTCTTATGAGCCCATACTACTACATACAACACTTCAAAAAGCTTAAATTAAAGTTTAGCGATAGCAAATCAGAGATAACATGAAATAGCTGATGCAGTTTCAGATTTCACATACAAAAACAACAAAATAAACACACTTCTGCACACTGCGAGCAAGACAAGAAACTAAATGAATAACCATTTGTAGGGATTTGCTTTCGAAACTGAGCAACCTTTTGATTAAGGCAGATGTATCGTAGTCGTAAATACCACAAAAAGTACCTTTCTTGAAATGTTAATAAGCTGGACTCACTACTGAGTCTGAGAAACTCTCCCAAGCAAGCAAAGATTCACTTAAGGTATTTTCCCTTCATCCTCCAGAGAATAGCTTTACCCAGTGATGACTGCATAATAAACCTTTAAAGGGGTCATATGATGCGATTTCAATTTTTCCTTTCTCTTTGAAGTGTTACAAGCTCTTGGTATGTTCTTTTTAGCTAAATCATATGACCCCTTTAACAGTGTCTATAGAAAAGATCAGGGCAGCGAGAGCGCCTTGGCCAGCCGAGTCCAGAACCAGACCTGTGTGCAGGGCCTGGTGTAATCACAGATGGTCAGAAAACGGAGAATGCTGGGAAAAGGCTCCTTCATGGATTTGTAGACAACAGGGATTAGACGTTTAGAGCGAGCTCCTGCAGCAGAGACAAAAGTCAAAATGTTACAAAAATTTCTGTGCTGCTTTTATAGCTGCATTATCCTTCATATTTAATGACATGAAATGAATACTTCAGCACAGTTTAGCACAGATATATCACAACTGGAGAGTTCAATGACTGAAATATAGCTCCAAGCAGTAATGATCGGCTCAGTCTTTAGGAAAACAATGGACGTGCTTTTAAGCAGGTAAATTTAGGAGGACAATTTCAAAACCGGTGTAAGAGACAGACTTCCTGCTGCCAGGTGGTGCTATGACAGTTACCCACAATAATAATGTCACTGTGATCAGCCTCCATGACCAAACATACAGCTCAAGTTTGCTCTAAATCACTTGAAAATGTATTGCCTTACCATGGAAAAGCTGATATAATTGTTCAATGCTGATATATACTACATAGCAATTCTTAATTGCTTAATTGTCTAATCGTCACCAAAAGTAAACTATATTATCACCCACCTCTGTATAGAAAGTTGGATATATTAGCATTTTCAACTTTCAACCCATATTCTCACTTAAAGTTATATATACTGTATACCGCAAATCTTAACTGCTTGATTGTTTACATCATAGCAAAATGTAAACTATATTTTTGCCTAACTATGAAAGTGCAGTCAAAATTTTGCCAGTGAAATCCAGTCATTCCAATAGGATTCTGTGTGATTGGGAGTTTCATGTAAGGGCGAAAAAGTTACCCATGCAGATTTTGTTAGTTGGTCATGTGAATTTAGCTTGAAAGTGTCTGTTGTGTGAGTTTGGCTTTATGCATCGCTACACTATTGACAATAGACAATGGATCTTCTTAGCCTATAAAATTTTGCTAATGTGATTGTACCTTTAGGCATGAACATATCATAAACTTTAACATGACTTTATGTAAAGCTGCTTTGGAACAATGCATAAAATTGACTTGGCTATAAAAAATTTGGTTTTGGCAATTTAGCATCATCAGTGTCTTGGTAGGGTTGGGCGATGTCTACAAAATTGGCATCGGACGATGTCTACAGTGAAACATCGCGATGGACGATGACATCGGCGGGGGTGGGGTGGGGTGTATTTGGGGGGTATGCCCGAAGCGTGAATCCTTATAAGGCATGGAAAACAAATAACGATTCCTAACACCTTTCACTTACCACATAAACAGAGTAAGGAGAGATGACTGAGGACGATGGCGAATGATTTGCAGATCCTCAGCACCACTACGGTGGCTGACAAGCACGAGCTGCTCAATCTGTCAAGCAGGTCAGAATCACCCCTGCCCTGACCTCTGTGTCCAAAAGATTTGTCATTCGCTGATTCATCTCGTCAATCTGTGTCTTTTCAGCCTCTCTTCCTCGGCTCTGTTTTGCCCAGGAAGTTGACCGAGGAAATGCAATACACGCTGACAAGCCCTGACGGCACAGTTTAATCTTGACTCTCCAAATAGGTCTCGCGTGTTGCCTGAACCAAACCGTTATAATACCAGCCTTCTGGGAGCAGAGAAATGCTGCAAACAGTGATTTTTATTCCATTTGAATTCAGTTGCTTTCAGGCAAATACAAATACAAACATCACACCTCAGATTTAGATATGTCTTTTTAGAGTTAGGGGGTGTGCCCGAATCGTGAATCCTTATAAGGGAAAACACGATTCCTAACACCGTGTCTACCCCGGACGCGAGCGGCGCGACAATGTACTATAGAACCACTGATCTATAATAGAGATTTATTATATATAGATCAGTCTATATAACTCATTATAATCAGTGATGCTGTCTACACTGGATGTGGCGCGACACGACAAATCCCCGACAGTAAACTGCTGCCGCGCTCTATTTATGACGTGCTGACACAAATTTCAAATGATTTTCAACGGTCGCTTTGTCGCGTCCAGTGTAGACAGACTTTAGCTGATGCGGCGCGGTGTAGACACGGTGTAGACACGGTGTAACGGTTGCCTGTTACATTACAGTACATAAAATTTCACTTACCACATAAACAGAGTAAGGAGAGGTGACTGAGGACGATGGCGAATGATTTGCAGATCCTCAGCACCACTGACAAACATATAAAATGTGTGGCAAGTACTGCCGCTCCATTGTACAAACAGTACGTGCGATCGCAAATCTCGAAAGTGAAAGTGAAACTAAAAGCGATCGTGCATTCAAAAGCACGATGCCAGGTATAATAGTGGCTCCCTGATGCCGAAATATGTAGTATAATTACCCAATTATATAACTGCGAGGAAAATATTGAAATATATATTTTCCTCTCATCTCCTATTTATTCCCTTTATGGGTTCCGCCTACACGTCATTTTCTTTCCGAACACGGTATTGGGATGCGGGGGGAATGCACGATGCCGGCTCAACATCGTGATGTCTATCAGCCATCGGCGATGGGCGATGGACGATGGCATCGTCTATCAGCCCAACCCTATGTCTTGGTATTACTTTGGATGAAATGGATGACAATCCCAATGTCTTAGGGGAAGGAATTTAAAATTCACTGCATGCACTTTTCACAAAATCGAAAATGACTGACTTCCTATAGGGTGGAGTTACTGAATATCAGGGTGAAATTTGTTCAGCTTGATGAGAATTATATATGTACAGAGTTTTGTGCATGTAGGAAATATGCACTATGTTTATGGCTGCCAACTCTGGTGTGCGTTTCAAATTTCTGGTTTAAGCATGTTAAGTTGACAAAACTTGACAAAAAAAATCAATAGGGCCCTCGAACAGTGCTTTGGCCCTAATAAGCTAGTAATAAAAATGGCAATGCAACTCAAATAAGTATTAAGAAAAATGTTGTACCTGGGCAAAGGCTGAGTGCAAACTTGGTCTGAAAGTCACATGCATCACTGTCCAGATAGTCATCAGAAATGACCACCACCATCCTCTTGCACCTAAAGGGAAAAAATATATATATATTACAACTGACCATAAACATTTAAAGATATTAAACAATTCATCAAGAATTTATACATGTATAAAATGCATATAATAATAATAGCTAGGAATGCACAGATATTAAAATTCTGCTGGCCAATACCAAAAGCAGATTTGTAAAATAATTATTTTATGACTGACACACAATAAATGGCTGATATTACTGTTATAGACTATTTTGTATAAACAAATTAAAAATAAAAGACACCACAGCAATATTATGTACGTGATAAAGAACAGATATTCATTTTTATATTTGCTAAATATTACAACTAAAATTGTTCTTAAATTATTATTATTATATTTTTTAAAGATTAACTTTAAGTGAGCATTGGATGATAAATAACCCCAAACCAACTTGCCTTTTCTCTATGAGCTCACTGGCGATGGTCCACACACACGTGCCAGGAAGGACATCTCGGTCAAAGACACACAGCTTCAGGTTGTATTTAGTCTGTTCCAACTGTTTGATCATCTCATGCACAAACTGAAAGTCATTCTGACAATAGCAGATGAAAGCATCAAAGGTCTCCGGTGTCAGTCCTGTCCAGTGAAGACAATGATTAGTTGGTAATCTGCTACACAACTAACTCCACAGTGCATTCAGACAGAACAGGGACAACTCACCTTGTGGATCATCATACAGTGTGATGCCTTCTCGCTCCTGTGTGCGCGGCCCACAGCTGTCCACCACTGGAACCTGGACAGGCTTCCTCTGTTGTCTTTCCAAATACTTCCTGCAGTCATCATCTGTGCACAAACACCAACAACATACAACAGCACTTAGATGGAGATCTTCTCTGTTGTCCAAATTAATGAGAGCCATTTCATTTGTGTTTTCATTTCCTCCGAATTAGTCATTCTTTTCTCAATCATGCTCTTTGGAGATTTTTTTTCCTTCTTTTTTAGGGATATGGCTTAATTTTCTGAAAAGATGTTTCAATAAACAGACAACTTTTGTTTAAGTGAGTGGACAAGAATTGCAATTAAATGTTAAATTTCATACTAATTTTTCTACTTGTGGGTGGCTCTGTTAAATAATTCTGTTAGAGTTCAATTCTGTTATTCTATTATCCGTTCTGTTATCTATTATTGTTCTGTTCTGTTATTTTCCTTTCTGTTAAATTTTTTAACGGACATGAAAAACAATACTAATATTGATAATAATGTGACAAAAAAAGCATTTCAATTATTTCAATTTAGTTATTTAAAGCATATACATAATTAATAAAACATTAGGGCCTGGTTTCACAGACGGGGCTTAGACTTAAGCCAGGATTAGGCAATAGTTCATAGTTATATTATAATATAAAAGATATAATATAAATAAAATCTTGTTGACATACCTATCATTTCTTTGAGGTCAGATATAACATCTTTCCTTTCAGCTTTTTCTAAAATCGACAGTAAATTTGCTACTGTTGCCTCTGGACGAGTTTCCCACTCCGTTAAGACCTTTTCAAAGGGATAGTCTCTTTCCTCGAAGTTTTTGATCTCCAGGTAGGTAAAGTCCATCATTTCGGCGACTGTCCTCCAGTCTGCTGCCACTGTGTTTGTTGGATTCAAATACAGCCCCAGTTTCTTTCGGAAACTGCAGTTTAAAGCTGTTATTGGAATCGCTTCATAGTCTATACTTAATTTTGATGCCATATTTATGGCAAAATCGGACTTATAAAAACTAAAGTTGTTAATCTCCGCGTTTAACTCGAGAAGAGAAAGTGATACAAAAGTTAAATATTGTAAGGTGTCATTTTCCGACGCTACCGATAAACTGAGGGAAATCAAAAATCACGAACTGTGGTTTGCTACGCAGTACAGTACAATAAACAACTACGTGAAGATTGAGGAAATGTTCGCAAAAAACGTGGGTCAGAGAAATGACGAAATACACGTACAGCCAATGGAGTCATGAGCGCGCGTATGTAAAAAGGAAGGATCGACGGTTTACATATCTATGGGATCGACTGTTTCAGGACCAGTGTCAGGACTTTGTGCATCCTGGAGAAATTAGTCAAACACTGATCTCAGATCTGCTTCCAAAGGCACAGCGAGCAACACCAAATATGGACCATTTCCGCTGCGATTACGCTGGGATTAAGTTGATTTTGGAGGAGAGATGTTTAAAATGGTCTCTTTTGCAGAAGCGTTTTGGTTCAGTGTGTAGAATATTATACAATATTTTGTCTAATTATGTTTACAGCTTTGTTAGCGTTCAGTTTAAGTAATAGTGAAGCAATTTTGTTGTAAAATATTAACACTTTGTCCACCAAAAGTCAGTGGTCTGACCAACATACAGGAAGCAATTTTATTGACAAGAAACATATATTTTGACTTATTTTTAAAATGATACAATTGAGTAACCCTAAGAAAAGGCCTTGAAATTCATGTATCATAAATATGCTTTAAAGTTTGAGGGTGGGAAAGGTTGCTTTTTTACGATTTTTTTAGCACACAGCGGTCTTTTTTTTTTCAGCACACAGCGGTCTTTTACAGCGTTTTCCCTCAGTTTTTAAAACCAAACTGAAACAGTTGGCACTTCTCACTTCCTTTTTCTGAATAAATTAAGAAAATATTCTTTATGTGCGCACTATTCAAACTTTTTCAGTTTCCTTACAGTTTTCATCATATATCATCACCGTTTCATGTGACGAGGGAAAACTCACCAAAAAAAAAAAAATCCGTCCTTTTATTTTTAGGTATCTTAAAAACAACTCCAAACCAAAACTTTTCATCATACTTGACTACACCAGGACATTCACAATCACAGGGATTTATTAAACCCACCAGAAATACAATATTGTATTCAACACAATATATACAAATACATGAAAATCTGAGTTACAGTTCATACAAATGTCTTCAGAATGTGAGCAGCGGTTTCTGTGTCTGCGTGTGAAAACAGATTCAGAAAGGGCAACACAAAACCAAACTATTTTTAATTTCCCCTTCCTCATTCCACTGCGTAACCTGTGGCCTAAACAGATGCCTCGTGACTATTTGTGATGCCCAGCAGCAGAAAAGGCACTTTTCCACGACATCTCCTCCTCAGAAACTCTTATTCTTGGAGAAGTAGAAGTCAGTGCCTCTGTCTTTGTGTTGTCTTGGTGTGTACGATGAGCCCTTCCTTCCTTTTGCTGGTGGACCAGACTGAAAAGATAACAAATTACATTGTGTAATATGTTTAAAAACAAGCTTATCTTTGTCCCTAATAATCAATGACATTATGTTGTTAATAATCTTACTGATTTGTTGTTGATATGGCGACTCCACTCAGGCGCTGTGATGACAGGGGAAGGGTATGTTTCGTTGAGTGAAACCTGGGCGCGTGAGAGTGCAGAGTTGCTGAGGGTCCAGGGGGTGTGAATGTCCCCACCTTTAATTCCTTGAAGCTCTGGAACCCACTGTCGCACATAGTCCCCCTTCACAGACACGTCATAAGTGTCAATTTTGTGTCAAAATATGCCTTATCATCCTGCAGTAATCTCTCCGACGCATTAGAAGTATGTGTAACTTCCTCTTCCTATATTTACACTTACGCTCATAGTAAAGCCTGCTCATTTAAGTGACAATGAAGAGCAAAGTGGAAAATACCAGGATATGCCTTTACGAATATGATTCACATAGGTTTAGGCACTAAAAGCAGCTTTCAATTTATTATTAATGGTCATTTTAATTATTGAAACATCCATTTAATTTGGTGATATATTACCATATTCAAGAGTTGGTGAATTATTTATTTATTTATATTATTTTAACCATCCTAAAACAATAGTTTGATTTTTTTTTTTTATGCTTCCCTTATCAATTTTGGTGTTTTATGATTTGTTATTTCATTGTATTTTTTATTTTACTGTTTAAATTATGGTTATTTAATGACATGTTCCACTGTGACAACTTAGAACCTGCTCACTGAAGTAACAATAAAGAGTATTAATATGTATGAATATGATTCACATAAGTTTAGGAACCAAAAGCAGCTGTTAATTTATTATTAATTATCATTTTAATCATCTAAACATCTATTTAATTGAATGGTATCAGAGTATAATTAAGCACTTTTAAAACTGTAATTTATTTTATTTTGTTTATTATATATATTTTTTTTTTTTACTAAAGCCTGTTAATTGTTACTAACCTGCTAAATTATTTAATTTAATTTAATTTATGTTGATTAAAACAATGGTTTGATATTTTTGTTTCCTTTTCCAATTTAAGTGTTCCATGAATTGTTTTATCATTATTTTACTTAAATTATGGTTATTTAATGTCATGATCCACTGTGACAACTTACCCCATAGTACTGTACGCATTGCTATTGGAGCAGGTTGTCATAAAAGTTCAAGTTTATCCTTTTTTTTTAAGAATACAAATAACTAATATTACTTTTCAAAATGATAAAGCTCTAAAAATACATCTACTCTGAGAAATATTCACTGGAGGAATAAGTGTGACAACTACTCTCTTACTTTTTTGTTTAGATGTGCTAGCAAAATATATGAATCAAGAATGCAGGTGTTTTTTTTGCTTTTATGTGCTATTACCGTAAAAGACCTGTAAAAACTACAACTTACGTTATTGTCATAGTCCAGTCCTTGTTTGATCATATTAAACTTCCTGTTTTCTCGTGGGTCATTTCCTATTCCAGCACTATAGAGCCAGTTTCCATAGTTGCTGCAGACGTCATGGTCCACCTGACACCAGTGAAAGACAATAGCACATCAAGCGGCAGCAAAAAGCAGAGAGCATCAACCCACTCCATCACACATAGCAAATGTTTCCTACCAGCAAATATTCGAACCACTCAGCGCCCAGTCTCCAGTCTAAGCCCAAGTCTTTGGTCAAAAAGCTGGCCACATTTTGACGTCCTCTGTTGGACATGAATCCTGTCAGTGCAAGCTCCCTCATGTTCGCATCTACAAACGGCACCCGAGTTCTCCCCTCTGAACAACAAGCGAAAAATATTTCACTTTTCATTCAGAGAAAATCTATTGAAATGCACATTCTTCGGTTGATTAATATAAAATCAAGTACAAAATTAAGAACTGGATAAAAAGACTAGCAAATTCTAAGAGTCACATTACCCTTCCATGCATTGAACAACGTCATATCTGTCTTCCAGGACACATGCTTGTCTTGCAGACCTTCAGATAAATGAAGGAAGAAACAATAATTTAAACATTTCATTTGCTGATATTAGAATTTAATTGAGCACTTTTAAATCTGTTACTCAAGAACCAGTTATAAATACTCAAATGTTCAAAGAAAATAAGTATTTAATGAATTTACATGTTTTGCCCTCCACATACACTACAGTTTGAAAGTTTGGGGTCAGTATGTTTTTTTTTTTTTTTTGCAAGAAATTATAACTTTTATTCAGCAAGGATGCATTAAATTGATAGTAACAGTAAAGACATTTGTAATGTTACAAAATATTTGTAATGTTACAAAATTTCAAATAAATGCTCTACTTTTGAACTTTCTATTAATCAAAGAATCCTGAAAAAATCAAAAAGCAGCACAACTGTTAATGTTGATAATATTGATCAACATTGATAATATTTTGTGAGCACCAAATCAGCACATTAGAATGATTTCTGAAGGATCATGTGACACTGAACAAAAAAATTAATAAATCCAGACTTACCATTCATATGAAATACTCTGTTTCCATATTTTAAACCCACAAACTTGAAGTAATCTCTCCACAGAAGTTCAAATATCACCCTGGTGAAGAAAAATGTTGTAATGCTGCATATAAAACACTGACACGAGTTAATTTTATTTGACACGTTACTCACCAGTATGTGCTTTGGTTGGTGGTTCGTTCAGCCTCATACTTATTAATCTGCTCATAGATGTACCTGGCTGATATGCAGCCCAACGCAAGCCTGAAGGAGGAGCATCAAAAACCCATGACTGCTCAGAATTAGTCTGTGCTTTGCTCATATGAAAACATCGTTTTGAGGGCTCACCATGGAGAAAATTTTGTGGAATAGTCAACTCCGATCATGCCATTCCGGTTCTCCTTATAAGTTGCAACAGCATTCTGTGAGAAAACAAAAGCATTAAATAACCCTCTCTCATTGATTAAAGGGGTCATATGATGCGATTTAAATTTTTCCTTTCTCTTTGAGTATTACAAGCTCTTGGTGCATAAAGAAGATCTGTAAAATTGCAAAGACTAAAGTCTCAAATCCAAAGAGATATTCTTTATAAAAGTTAAGAGTCAACCATGCCTACCTAAAACGGCTCGTTCTAACATGCCCCCACATATTTACATCACTATGTGGAAATATTAGCATAATGCCGCCCAAATGTGCACGCAAAGAAAGAAGGCGTGGTTTCAGGAACAGCAGTAGTGTTGATGCAGCCATGTCAGGGAGACGGTGTGTGTTTCAGTGCGAAAGCAAAAGCACTTTATTTGGCCTTCCGGAAGTAGATGCAATTAGGGGGCATAGAGGACCTACAATAATGTACAGTATTTGAAAAATAATGTGTTTTTTGAACATTAAAGCTGTCAACAACATATTCTGTTACACCAAATACACAAAATAATGATCTTTAAAATAGCATCATATGACCCCTTTAAAGGAGTTGTTCATCCAAAAATAAACATTTGCTGATTTACTCACCCTCTGGTCATCCAAGATGTATATGAGTTTGTTTCTTCATTAGAACAGATTTGGACATTACATAACCTACTCACCACCAGTGGATCCTCTGCAGTGAATGGGTGCCGTCAGAATGGGAGTCCAAACAGCTGATAAAAACATCACAATAATCCATATGACTCCAGTCCATAATCCATAATATCACTTGACCTCCTGTTGTCCTCTCACTTCAAAATCCACAGACATACAGTATTTGTTTAGAACTGAGGCCTGTTTTTGATTGTAAACAGTGTTTGATCTGTGCATATTTCTCTTCTGATTCAGACAAGACGAATTTGGAAAAAGCAATATTATAGATCGAGGACTCGTATTTTAGCCAGAAGCAATGGTTTGAAGTAAAAAACTTCTTAATGATGGATTTGTTTATCACAAACACGCAGCTTTTCGCTTCACAAGATGTTAATTGATGGACTGGAGTCCAGTGGAATACTTGTGGATTATTGTGATGTTTTTATCAGCTATTTGGACTCTCATTTTGACGGCACCCATTCACTGCACAGGATTTATTGGTGTGCAAATGATGTAATGCTACATTTTTCCAAATTTTTATGGATGAGGAAACAAACTCATCTACATCTTGGATGGCCTGAGGGTGAGTAAACTTTGAGTAAACAAATCGGAATTTTAGGGTGAAGTATTTCTTTAAGTCATTTTTAGAAAACTGTAAGAAGAGGCCTCACTGTATCCCAAAAGTAATGTTTCAGCCTAGCAAGAGCCTCAGTCTCTCCACCGCGGCATGGGAAGGCCGAGCGGAAGTCCTCCACCGGCTCTGAAACCACAGACAGGAAATATATCATGATTATTCCTCACTGCTTAACATAAAATTAATTCTGTTTATCTTGTAAATATTCCTCTGTGGATTGTACAGTCATCTGAGAGGAAATCTCAGCACAATTCATGTAACATTGCTATATTAAGAAAGAGGAAATATGAGTAACTGATTCAGCCTGGAGCTTTTCACCATCTTACTGACTGTGCCATGTTTTGTATCTTGAGATACTTGTGCAGTTTACTCTAAATACAGTACAATTATGTAAATCAAGGTACCTGTCTGTCCCAGGCCTTCAAATGTCGGGATGGTGCCCTCGTCCAGTCCAAGGGGAAGAGCTTTAACCTGCTCCGGGGTGGAAAGGACAGGTCGCACTCTGCCCTGTCCCTCAACTACTTTTCTAAACTGGGTGTAAATATCAGGTAACCTAACAAAAACAGCAGAAATTAGAAGCACAAACAGGAAATTCAGTCACACAAATAATGTGCTGATCCCACATTGATTTGAAACTGAAACTGCAATTACTAATCAGATCCTAAAAAACAGGAAGTTACAGTAGCAGTGGACTTGCAGAATAGTTTCCAGTACTTTTCTGTGACGTTTCCTAGGAAAGTTGAATGAGTTGTTAAAGGGGTCATATGATGCTGCTAAAAAGAACATTATTTTGTGTATTTGGTGTAATGAAATGTGTTTA